ACGTAGTCCCGACAAAAGAGTACCATGTATAGTGCTAAAAAAATAAGCATTCTGGAATTTTATTAAAGTACCATTGTTAATCTTTCATTCAAATAGATTCAGAATAAGTAAAAGTGCTTTACTTTTATGCGTAGGCGTTAAAATGACTTTTGTATATTGTCAATCAGGTCGCAAAAATTAATAATAATATAATATGTCACAAAAGTATAATAACAATTACACTTTTGTGACGTTTGAAAAAAATATATTTTATATTATGCTAATTTTTAAATAATTATTCGTCTTTTTATTCTTTCAGATACAAAATAATTAAATTAAAAAGTTTTCTTTTCAATAGAAAGGATTTCAATCATACATTTTTATTAAAAAATGTTTCTTTTTATTTATTCAATATTAGTTAGTTTTTTTTTATGTTTTTACGACTTCAAAATGCTGTTACGTCAGCCGCATCGGCTGCCGACCGGGTCTCAATAAACTATCTTTCTCGCGCTTATAGATACTCATAAGACTTTCTTATCACGCTCATTTAAAATCTTTATTCGCGTCTGGCAAGTATTAAATCCCATTGAATTCGTCTGGCAATTAACACATATTTTTTAATATCATCTAATAAACACGCTGTAAAAATTTTAGAATGCCTAAAGTATGTTTTCCAGGCATAATAATTAAACATATTTGGAATGGTCTGGTTACACTTTAAACCCGAAAAAAAAGTCAGGCATACTTATTTCTAGGTTAAATAGATGCTAAAATTTAAGAATAAACAAATTTCAAGTTGCCTAAAGAATGTTTTTGGTTTTATTTTTTTGCAAATGTTATGGGTTGCGCAGTAGCGAAACACCCCCAACCCCCCGCCAGACTTAGGATTCTGGGTTCACCCGTTAATAAACTATACATTTTTAGTTATTCTAGCTTGCCTAAAACATGTTCTCTAAATATGTCGTTAGCTCATAGGCTATTAGTTTTGTATTACTCAATGAACAGTGCTTTCCATAAAATCAATAAAATAAAAAATATACGAAATAATATACATGTACTGATTTCTTTCGAAAATCGACAACTATGAAACTATGATCCCTTCCCCGACACAAACGGTACATTGTGAGACAGGAAATTGTAGAGAGAAACAAGTCCTATAACATAGGATACAACATTTCAATGAACAGTGCTTTCCATAAAATCAATAAAATGAAAAATATACGAAATAATATACATGTACTGATTTCTTTCGAAAATCGACAACTATGAAACTATGAATCCTTCCCGGACACAAACGATACATTGTGAGACAGGAAATTGTAGAGAAAAACGAGCCCTATAACATAGGATACAACATTTTAATGAACAGTGCTTTCCATAAAATCAATAAAATGAAAAATATACGAAATAATATACTTCTTTCGAAAATCGACAACTATGAAACTATGATCCCTTCCCTGACATAAACGGTACATTGTGAGACAGGAAATTGTATTTTATTTTATTTATTATTTATTGTTAATATTTTGATTAAACGAACCGGTCAAACTTAATCAGGGGACTAAAAGTTTATTGCATATGAACTATAATAGAGATAAATTGTGCCCAATTAAATTATTTTCATTCAAAAAATACATTACTTAGTTCTATGTTCACGAAATATTGGGACACACAGTATAACTGAAATTTTTTGGACATGAAAACGGTAGTTAACTATAAAAAAATATCAATAACTTGCAATTACTTACAATCACTTGTAGCAAAAATTGTCGTATCCTGAAATTAGCCACAGAACACTAATAAACCACCACTACTTATACAAAATCACAGCATCTGCACAGCCTGCACAGCCTGCACAGCATTAAAATACCGAATATTATTTAAAAACATAGTTCATGAAATCACAAGCGAGTTATTCAATCTGAATAACAAACATGAAATGTCATTTTTTGCTATTGAGATTCTTTTTTGTTCAGTTGCCTTGACAACTGGAGAAATCATGGCTATCTTTTCAGAATTTCTGAGGTGCGCACACGGAAATCAACAAGAAAACACAGTTAAGCCTGATTCTAGACTATTTTTGAATATTTTAATGTTGGATTTAGTTGAAAAAAAATAATTTGGTTTTCACTAGTAGGTAAGGATTGGTTTGAAATACCCATACTATGTATACGGTGTGTGATTTTTCATTAGGTTTATATCAGAAAGCGTCTTAATAAATGCATTCTGTAAAAAATATTTGTTTGTATCTATATACAGGGTGTTTCAAAACAAATGCGAAAAACTCCAGGGGGTGATTCCTTGTTCAAAATAAAGGGTAGTTTGCTTTATAAACGTTGGGTCAAAAGTCAACCATTAGGGAGATATCGCGGTACAAAGATGGCGGAAAAATAATGTTTTTATTTTTTATCTTGAAAACGAAAAGAGATAGACTAATGAAATTTTACGGAAGCATTACTGTTATGAAAACACACTTTCTGGTAATTTTTTCACTTTTTTTAAAATGAGTGGAAGGGGTTGAAATAAACTACCCCTATCATTCTTGTTAATGAAATTTAAAGAAAAATCTTATCAAACACATGCAAAAAAAATTAATTTTGATAGTTTAGTGTATTTAGAAACTTTTTTATCTCTTGTGTTTTTTTGATAAAACTCACCGATTTGAAATTAGAAAATAAAATGTAAAGCATTATATGTCAGGACAAAAAAGATTTTTAGATAAAGAATCTAGTGGGCAGCTGTAATTTTTTTAGGAAAAAATCTAGTCGGCCGCTGTCACTTTTTAGGATGTTTCTAATATTGTTTTATTTGACCATTACCCTACTGCAATACGTTATTATCTAGATTATTATTATTATCATTATCACTAGATTCTTAATCTAAAAATATTTTTAGTCCTGACATGTAATGCTTTACATTTTATTTTTTAATTTCAAATCGGTGAGTTCTATAAAAAAAATACAAGAGATAAAAAAGTTTCTAAACAAACTAAACTATCCAAATTAATTTTTTTGCATGTGTTTGATAAGATTTTTCTTTAAATTTCGTTAACAAGAATGATAAGGGTAGTTTATTTCAACCCCTTCCACTCATTTTAAAAAAGTGAAAAATTACCAGAAAGTGTGTTTTCATAACAGTAATGCTTCCATAAAATTTCATTAGTCTATCTCTTTTCGTTTTCAAGATAAAAAATAAAAACATTATTTTTCCGCCATCTTTGTACCGCGATATCTCCCTAATGGTTGACTTTTGACCCAACGTTTATGAAGCAAACTACCCTTTATTTTGAACAAGGAATCACCCCCTGAAGTTTTTCGCATTTGTTTTGAAACACCCTGTATACATATGTATAAATCTGTAAGTCAGACCAAACCCTTAACCCTAGAAAGCTGAAATTTTGCACAGGGGGTCCTTTTATGATGTTTACGTGAGATAAGAAGGGATTTTTTAAAATTCATCCCCTAAGGGGGTAAAAAGGGGGGTGGAATATTAACGAAAAAACGGTTAAGTTTCCGAAAAAAACGCTTAAACACGCATATTTTATTTTCTTTTTTTACATATTTTAAGATTTTTTAAAAATGTATACAGGGTGTTTCGAAAAATCTGGTCATTGATTAATCATGATCCTGCTTAAAGCGCTTGACGTAAAAAGCTGATTTTTGGAAAACTTGGGAGTGACTTTAGGGTGTAAAGGTTCGATAAGAAGGGATTTTTCGAAACTCGAATTCTAAGGGGGTGAAACTACCCCTCAAATATTAGAATATTTTTTATTTAAAAACCGGTGAGTTTTTCGGAAAAACTCTTAAACACGTATATTTTATTTTGTTGTTTTACATATTTTAGGATTTTTTAAAAATTTATACAGGGTGTTTAAATTGTGTGTACGTTTAAAGCTGATTTTTGGCAAACGGATTGACTGTGGGGCGTAGAGGTTCGATAAGGAGAGGTTTCTCGAATCTCAAATTCCAAGAGGGTGAAAACGCCCCTCAAATTTTACAATATTTGTTATCTAAAAAACGGTTAGTCTTTCGGGAAAACGCTTAGACAAGCATAATTTATTTTGTTTTTTTGCATACTTTGAAATTTTTTAAAAAATCGTGCCGGGTGTTTGGTTTGGTTTGGGTAACCAAAAAGTTGGGTAATTGATTAACCGCGATTCTGCTTAAACTACTTGACGTAAAAAGCTTATTTTTGGCAAACGGATTTTTCGAAAGTAAAATTCCAACGAGATAAAACTACCTCTCAAATATTACCAAGTTATATAATAATATCGCCATATTGTTTTTTCTCATGCTGACATAAATGTGAGAAAATTTTATCCAGTTTGTATGTTAATGGAAATTCTTGCTTTGATTTATCATCACCATTACAAATGATTAATTCGATGCGAACGAAGTCGCGGGTACACGCTAGTAATATTATAATATTTATTTCGAAGCCTTCTTAAATTTTTTATTTGAAAGTTTTTCAACTTTAGAATAGCTGAAAACAGTTACATAAAAATACGTTTCTGTTTTTCCTTCTAGAATTTTTTTCTAAACATAGACACGCAAAAAAACTTCTTGTGGAAGTGTACGATTTTCATTTATTGATAAAATATTGTAAAATATGGCAAGATTTGAAAAGTATTCGGCAATTGGAATTCGAAAATAATTTGATTGCTTTGACTAGGTTTGTTTTGGTTTGTCGGTTCATTTTTGTTAATTTTCGTTTTTTTTCTCGGTACGGTATTGATGTCTAAATTACAGTATCTACTAGGTTAAGCTCATACCTACACAAGAAAAGTGTTTAGAATGTAAAATAAGAACACGTTTTCATGTCACTGATTTCATTTATTCTAAAGTCGGAAAAAAGAGAATGGTTCATTTCCGCAGAGAAATTTTTATGATTTTGTGTTTGGGGAGGCTTCTATATACTGGATATTTTTTTTATAAATGATTTCAAGTAAAAAAAACCTTATCCAAAAACGGTACCTATAGGTATTACATTTGATATTATCTAAAAATGTTATTTCTTTTCAGGGAAACAGTGTGGGTTCTGACTGCTCCAACTGCAAGCCCAAACCACCACAAAACGCCAAAAATCTAGCTGATTCTCTTCAGCCCTTTTACCTGCATCCTCCTTCAAAGGAACCCAGCCTAGAACCTGCTCATGCACCTGAGAATGGACTATATATTAACCCTATGTCAAACCACAGGCATAGGTATACCATTGTATAGTTTTAAAACCTAGATTTATTTAAAATTGATGTAATTTTCAGTACGTCCAGCTGCTCGGAGACCAGCTCAAACGGCAGTGAATCTTTCTACCTTCATAATCCTCAAGAAGTTATATACAACAGGGTAAAGGATTTGTTCGAGTCTGATGGACAACAAAGACCACCCTTATCTGCTTTAACAGGTGAGTGAGAATTCGGAGAAAAAATGTATTTTCCGTCTTACATGCATTATTGTTCTGTTCTGTGTTAAGAGTCTAATACGCTGTACTGTTCGGGTTGCTCTCAGGGGTCGGGTAAAAGGGAAGATGTTCAAATATTCCATCGACTGCTAGACAATAACCCAGGCGATCATAAAATTCTCTTCTTACATTCGCTAGTTGGTAAACTGAAATTCTATTGCATTCGGCAGAAATAGCATTTTTTAACTTGTCTAGATTTGGATATTTTTTATCCTTGTATATCCTGTTTTTTAAATGGCCCCAGCGAAAGAAATCATTTGGCGAAATATCAGTAGACCTTCCTGGCCAATTTACTGGATGATTTAGGCCAATAAGGTTTCCGTTAAAACTATTGTCTAAATATTCCCGAACAACCAGGGTACTATGTGCCGGGCAGCCATCCATTTGGTACCAAACTTCCTGCTTTTCCCTAGCGGCATCATGTAAAGCAGGTAAAATATGATTTTCGAGTAGTTCCAAATAATATTCTGCATTTAAATTTCGCGTAAGAAATAATGGCCCGATAATATTGTGTCCGAATATCCCTGCCCAAACATTTACTTTCTGTGGATATTGCGTCCTTGTTTCGACAAACCTGTGTTGGTTTTCTTTGTTCCAATATCGATAATTTTGAACATTGGGTTCATTATTTAAGGTAAACGTGCATTCGTCAGTGAAACATATGTTTTTTAAAAATTCCCTATCCGTGTTTGCTCTTTCCATCATATCAAAACAAAACGCCTGCCGCCGTATTTCGTCCCCATCTCGTAGCTCTTGGTGCTTTTCATATTTGAAGGAATAGTATTTATGTCGTTTCAAAATTCGAAACGCTGTAGTGTGATCTATTCCTATTTCATCCTCAAGTTTCCTTGTCTGATCTTTCCATCGTTCTCTTCCACGCACAATAAAACTTCCAAGTCGGTATCATTTCTTGCATCTTCTCTTTGTTCCTGCCTTGCTTCACATCTGCAGTTATTTATTAGGGTACCTTTGGTCTCAAATCTCTGGATATTCCTTGCGATTGTAGATTTTCCAGGTATCGGTCTATTCGGATACAGAGCAGCAAACATGTCCGACACCTTTTGATAACTATTTCCTTGATAATACCATTTAATCATCAATACTTTTTCTTCGGTAGTAATTCATGGCTAATATATTCAGTAGGTATGAGTTTTTAATAATAATAATAAAGCACTAAATAGAAAAATTTCTGAAATGACAACTTCATTTGACAGTTATCTTTTACCTTGACTGGTGCTCATAAGTAAATACAGGGCCATAAGAAAGGAGAAATATTTAAAAAGAAATCGGCGATAACTCGTAAACGAGCTAATCAAAAATATCTAAAGTTATTCTTTTGAATGTGGGTTTTAGTGCTCTTCAATAAACCTAAATAGAATTATTCTCTAAAATAATTAGGCAAGCCAATAATTGATCCCATTAAAATTTACATGAGATTTCCTAAAACTTCAATCTATTTCCGTATTCTAACGGAATTTTAAATTATGTTTTTGTTTTCGAGAAAATTTAGTCCAAACATAAGCAATATTATGTTGATGTTAAAAAAAAACTCGTAAGCGTGTTTCTGGGGTCGAAATATACTGCCTCTTAAATATTTCCACTTATTTATGACTCAACCTGTATATACATATATTCTAAAGACTAGATCCATAGATAAAAGAAAATATTCTTCTATTAAGATCCGTGTTCTTAGTAGAGACTACGTTTAACTCAGCACCTTCGCCTTTTCTGTTGCAAATATTTTTTATGTTTATATTTGATTTCAAAGGATTTAGTTTTAAAGTTACACTGATATATTAGTATATCAGAGTAACTTTAATAAAACATAAGAATATATATATTTTACAGTTTATTAAATATAAATTTTGACTACAAGGTAGAAAGTAAATCACAATATTTGATAAAACTTATAAGTATACCATTTTTACAGTTAATAAATAATAAAACTATTTCTGACTATGATATTTAAAATTTAGATAGACAGAATATTAAACAACATACCGGGTATTTGCAGACGCAGGCCCAAATTCAATAAAAACCAAAATTTTTCCTGCGAAAATCGGGCTTTTTTCACAGAAAAGATATTTTTTGATTTATCAACAATCATTGTCAAGTTGACAATATACAGGGTGTTTCCTAATTAGTCTAAAAAATTGTGGTGTGATTCCTCATCTGTTCTTAAAATAATTTTTATATAACCATTGGGTCTAAAGTACTTCCTTTCTGATCTACAGGGTGTTAAAAATTAAAAAAAAATCGATATTTTGCTTAACATAAATAGTACACTACTGCTTTTTTAAAGAAAATATATTTTTTTCTTGACTGGCCATTCTTTTTCAACAAAATTGATCTTTTGAGTTTTTCTTGTTCATCAAACGGTTGCCGAGAAAAAAATAAATATACTTATTAAGAGCCCGCCTAAGCCGTTTTGTAACGATTTTTTTTATTTCTTAGATTAATTAGGAAACACCCTGTATATGCATATCACAGGCAACCAAATAAACTAGTAACCTCTAAAAATTATTTTTCCTACCACTAGCGACATACCGTGTTTTTAGTGAGTACTAAATTATTTTATCAAAATTTCACCATATAAGTTTCCAGGCAATGGACTAGATCTTAGTTAAATAATATATACAGGGTGTCCCAGAAATAAGTGCAAGTATTTTAAGGGGTGGTAGATCTCGATAAAAGAAACATATTTTCTCTTTATCGTTTTTCAAATAACGGAGTTATTTTACTTTGAAAATTTCCAAAAAAATGATTTTTTGCTCAAATTTTGAGAACCACTGGATCTTTTCTGGATATTCTTTCTTGTAAATTTAATCTACATGTTGCCATATTATCAAGAAATTATGTTTTTTTAACTAAAAACTAAAAAAAATTTAAAAAAATTCCGAATTTTCACTTATAATATCACAAGAGCTTAAATTATTTTCGGAAATTTTTCTGAGGGCACGAATATTTTGAAAAGTAATTTTCCTAAAATATTCGTGCCCGAAAGAAAATTTCCAGGAATAATTTAAGCTTGCGTGGTATTCGGTAAGAAAATTTCACACCTAAATTTGAAAAAAAAAAATATTAATCCAACATGACATTTTAAAATAATTTCAATTTGTTAAGTTGGCCAAGGTATTGATGTTTTTGACATATTATGTGTTTTGTCATTTTTGTTTGCGATTCTGTCATTAAGCTATTACTAGTTTTAAAACGTCTGTACGTAGAGTAAGAAGTGTATAGCGAAATGTCGCGATTTGGAAAAGTAAACCAACAAGTCATTAAAGAAGAAATTGAAAATATAAAACCAGATAACACCCGAAAATCAAAATCAAGTGTATATCCATCATATTTCGTTAAATAGAAAAATACCAGCTTTAGTTAAATAAAGGCGGCAGAACTATATTTTTTAGAACATGGCAATTTCGAAGAAATTCATATGTAGGTATATCTAACATATTTCCTTAAATAAAAAATATTACCAATCTTAGTTACATCAAATGCTAAAACTGAAATGGGTAATATTTCAATATATAGACATTGTAGTTCATTCACATTATGATTGTAGATCTTATGTTTACCTTTTCAACTGTCAAAAAATTTCCACTAAAGTTTCGTGGCGCCTCGAAAAAATTTCCGGAAATTTTTTCAGTTGCCATGGTAACTAGTCAACATTAAAGCATGTTATTGGTTGAAAAGTAGAGGTGTGAAATTTTCAAAAAAAAAATTTTTGCGAAAAAAAGGCGTGTTTCTGGGGTTGAACTATACTACCAGTTAAAATACTTGCACTTATTTCTGGGACACCCTGTATAGACCTACAATACTTTGACTATTGATATTTAATTATAGACGAATTTCGGTATTTCTAGCTATTTTATTTTATTTTTAACCTGTTTAATATCAATATTTGCTTTTTTTTTTGTTAAAACTTTCATAAAACAATTTAATAATGAGATACCGATTTGTGCAATACCGTAAGAAAAAATTATAAATCGAATCTTTGATGAGGATTAAGAAGCAATTATTTCCACTAGGATTTTTAAAATGAAAGTTTATTATTATATCTGTGAAAAATTACTAGTTTTCCTGCTATTACTTCATTGGTTGAGCTTGCCAGTTACTAAGATGTCTATTATTAATATCAGGTTATAAAAATTATGTTCAAAGGTGAGTAAATTTGTATGTAAAACGTTTTGTTGCAATCAAATAATTTTGTAACAACAAAAATTTGGTATCTCATACATTACTGACGCTCTCACTTCACTAATATGTCTAAATAGTACTTTTAAAATCTAGCATTTTTATCACAAACATTTTTGTAGTGAATTATAACAACAGAGTATTTCTTTTCTGTTTCAGTCAAAGTGGAAGTCCATTCGTCATCTTCCGGCGCCGGATCTGACGAGAACCTGTCATCGTCGGATCTGTCATCTGTCAGATCGAACGATCACGACCATGATTATGAAGATATTTACCTAGTTAGGGAAGAATCAAGGAAGCAAGAAAGACAGAATGTTCAGAATGGTAAAACCGGAAGATCTAGATCTAGAGATTCAGGTAATCATTCTTACTTTAAGTAATAATGTCTGATCACTCCAAAAGAAAAAAATTAGTAAAATAAAAAGCGTAATAAATATAGTTTAATTTAACCAGGTAATGGTTAAATTAGTTTAGGTTACTTTTTACTTTACATTGCAACTTCTGTTGTCACTTAATTTAACTGTTAAGCTTCATATTATTTTTTTTCCATAGAAACTGTTAAAATTGCCTTATATGTATCAAAAATAGTAGATAAAGGTTGGCGAGGATAGGTTAAAAATAGAGATGGGCAAAAGTAACCGGTTTTTTGAATAACCGGTATTTTCTTCTAAAATAACCGGTTATTTAAAGGTAGTTTTTTTTTCACCAGTTAACCTAATAACCTTGCATTACGTTCAATAACCTATAGCCGGTTATTTTTTAAAAAATCGTACTTGTTTAAAATAAGTAACAATTAAATATTAGCTGTTTGAATCGTAAATTTCGAAGAAGCGAACGGCACGGATCTTCCAGATATTACGACGATAACGGGAGATCCCGCTCCCGCTCCCAAAACGAAAATATATGACATCAAACATCAAATGTCAAAATTAAATCAGGCATCAGGCGAACCCTGATGATAATAATCAAAACAACGGCCAAATGGCCCTGACAGGTCAGGCCGTAAAACAAAGTACTAATGGCATAGACTACTACTAGCCACCAGCTAGCCAAGTGATACGAACCTAACTTCAAATAGATTCTCTAAATTCTATATTTAAATTTTAACCGACTTTAACGGATTTTCAACGGTTCTTCAAAAGTCTTCCATGGTTTCGCCCAGTTTCACCCACGTTTCACCGTAAATATATTTTATTTGTAGTTTGAAGTCTCTCTTGAAGCTTAGACTAAAGAATACAAAATTAAAGTTCAAGTAATGAATGAAGATAATCTTTCATTATCTATTCATTCAGTCTCCTTATTTTTCTTTGGTATTTGATTAAAATAACTTGGTTGTAGATTGTAGAACTTGTGAGTTGTGTGGTTTATTTGAACGTTAAGTAATTACTAGTTTTAATATCATATCCATGTCTACTCAAAAAAGTGAGGTTAGCATTTTTATTTAAATTCATTTTGTACATATACATACTTACATTGCTACAATCTCTATTTAATCATGCGATTTAACTAAGTTTATCTAAATTTGAAGTAGACCTATGGAGTGTAGAGGTAAGTAAACCTATAGGAAAACTAAATATTTAGTTTTGCTAGGTTAGGTTATTTGAATAACCGGTTAATTTGTGTCGGTTAATTTTGTCAAGTTATTATTTTTTAAAGATAATTCCGGTTAACCTATAACCGGTTTTTTTACCAATAACCGCCCATCTCTAGTTAAAAACTTTATTTCTTCTGGCACGTTTTTTAATTGCTTCCATTTTTGAAAATTTTTGTATTCCTTTTCATAAGTTATTCAGGATTTAAATGGAAGTAGTTTGGATATGGCGTTTGTCGTCTCAGCCTGAATATCTATTGACTTGGTTTGGTTATTTCCTTTGGAGCCATTTCTGGCTCCAATTCAATCAGCAATCAATCAGCAAAAATATTTTTTAAAACGTAACTTGTTATGGAAAGAAAATTGTTTTATACACGACGGTAAAATTGCATATATTTCAGATGGAGGATGAAAATCAATTTTTATCCTTCATTTTTATGTAATAACAATTATTTTTGAACCCATATATAAAAGTTAAGGGACTGATCAAAATATTCGAAATAACGACAATAAAAATAGAAATTATAGTAAAGTGAAGAATTTAACTGGTAAATAAAAAATAGGAAACTAAATCTTAAATAACTTTTAATACGTAATAACGTAATTTTGTTGGTTAACTTTAAGAGCCTATTTCACTAGTCCGAAAAAGTAGCAAAATAAGCGTTCGGCATTTAACGTTTTATGTAAAACTGACTAGGTATTTTTACACAAATGAAGAAGGAAATTAAAGATAAAGGATTATACTATATCCGTATTGTAGTACATTTTTAGACAACTTCTATATTTTTAAGACTTTGATGGTCAAACATCAACAAAATATTCCTTATGTTCGGACTAAATTTTCTCGAAAATAAAGACATAATTTAAAATTCCGTTACAATACGGAAATAGATTGAAGTTTTGTGATTACAATGATATATAATTTATATGATTTTGTTACAAATTGCTCGCTATTATATGGCAAATGCTGAAGCTCTACAAACCTTAATCAAGCCTTAATCCAAGCACGTGTGTTGGGAATTTTAGGTGTGACTTAACACGACAGGATCAAGTTAAGCATTAGGCAGATTTCTCAAATATAATATACTCTTAATAAATAAAGTCACATTTCCACATTTCTAATAGTCCTGTCATCTTAGGGGTTTCACCTCGGAATTCGAGATAACCGGCTTTATAGCCGGTTATCTCGAATTTTTTTCCAATCATTTACATGTATATTTTTTGCGTTTTTCAAATCTGGCACTTCTAGTTTGAATTCTATCCTGTTTTCTGTCAGTAACTGTTTGTAATGGTCTTCCCACTTTTCCATGCTTATAAGTTCTAGTTTACTGTTGTGACGTCATACACTCCTATATCTCTGGCCTCTATGGTCACATTGGTTACGAGTGTTACGACTAGGCAATTTAGTCCAGTCATCTTAGGGGTTTTACTTCGGAATTCGAGATAACCGGCTGTAAACTCGTATAAACCTTTATTTTAACATTCTAAAACATGTCTCAAAACCTACATATGATCATAATAATATCATTAATTACATTTTAATTATAGCATCAATCATCTTCGTTATACACAATTCATTAAATCAACCAAACTGAATAAACCTGGGCAATTATCAAATCTTCCACCAACAAGTGCAGCAGCTCACTAACATTTCAATCGTGTTTACTACCAAGTTCAGACTTGGTTAGGGCATGATTTAGAACCCCAGGACTGGGATTGGATAATGCGCAATGGATTCCTGGAACCTACTCCTACTATTCTACCTCCAGCTCCAGAAAATTTGCTGAACACAATATTCTGCAACTGCAAGAATGGTTGTGGTTCGCGATGTGGATGCAGGAAATCAGGGTTGCCGTGCTCTTTAGCTTGTGGCCAGTGTAATGGTTACCCATTAATGGTAGGCATTGAGACAAGCTTACGCTTGTCTCAATGCTTCACCCTATCAGAGTGATGTCAATGAAGATGGTACATTTGACCCCGAAATCCTAGAAGTCTTTGAGACAAATGTCGAAATGAAGATGAAAATGAAGAAGAATTTGAAATTTTACAAGGACCAGACGACGTTGATGAAGAAGAAGAAAACTAAAAATAAGAACATGGAGTTCTTTTTATTTTTATTCATTTTTTTTTTAATTTCAACCATGAGAAATGTATTAAATCGTGTTTTTTAATAGACATATAAATTAAAAATGTATTTCTTGTCTTTCTATTTACTTTAAATGTAATTAGTAGAAATCTAACTATAATTAAAATGTAATTAAAGTATTTCTTTAATAATTTTCTAATTGTACGAAGAGGTAAGTGGTATTAAATGAAGATTATTATATTCAATAATATGATCTTTTATGAGAAAATGTAAATTATTTATAATTATATATTTTTCAATAATTAACGGACTTTATACGGCTTGTTTTTGACCGAGACTACAGGTTGAACTTGAATGATACAATCCCGTACATAATGAAAGACTGCGCGCTCACGTCTCTCTATCACAAAAACGGTTTGAGGTACAAAAACATTTTTGAAACAAAAGTTGTAGAGAATTGTATCCTCTATAATATTTATAATGAATTCAAATAGCGTAAATGTGAAAGGGAACGAGATATTTGCAAAAAATGCGCAAAAAATCGATTTTTTGACATTTGACCTCAGTTCAATCATATGTAGGTTTTAAGACATGTTTTAGGATGTTAAAATAAAGGTTTATACGAGTTTACAGCCGGTTATCTTGAATTCCGAGATTCCTACCCTATTTCGACTAAGATGACTGGACTATAATAAGAAATGTCAAATTTGTGTCGATTTTTTTGTATTTTGGGCAAATCAGAAAACTAACTACGTTACCTAATTTGACCTATCTCTAGTAATAAAAACATATTCTCTTTAATGTCAGATTTTTTTGTTAACACTGTTATTTTTATGTTAATCTTTTTTCAGGTTCCCACAGCCGTTCGGGATCGGTCAGTTCCTCCAATTCCGGATGCAACGTTATCGTAAAATTGCCTCCAAACACCGCTAGTACCACCAACGGAAATGATAAGAACACCATTTACAAGGCCAACGAATATTTACCAAAACCGCAAAAGATCGAAAAAGCAAACAGAAAGGATCAACAAAAAGAATCGTCGTCTCCAAAATTATCTCGTTCGGAGAGTTCCGAAGATGAACGAGATAAATCGAAACTAGGATCGAGACGTTCGTCAGTTTCTCAATCGAGCAATCAGTCGAATAATAATCATCCAGCAAAAATGCTAAAAAGGGTAATTTCACTTTTAAAAATTATGAAGTACATAATACCACAGATTAGGTATACTATATGTATACAGATAAAAATCTTATCCCTAATTCGTAGTACAAAAATTGTTTTTTTATGACGATGTGCAAACGAGTAAAATTTCCGGTGCGCAAAAATAAACGTAAAAAAGCGTAAAATAACAATAAACAGCGTAATAGAGAGATATCGCTAATCCGAATAGCGTACATGGACGTTAATAAGGCCAGGTGTTATTTCCTTTACGTGAGGTGGTATTAACTCTCTTCATTTATAGCATAGAGAAATATAAAATAATCATTTCTTCATTTATAGTTATCGGATCGGAAAGAATTATGTTCGCGTCGCGTCCGCTATTTAAACTTAACCTAACTTTGAATTTAAAACTTTGAAATTGTTTTGTTTACTAGATATTTTAAAACTAAAGGGCTAAAGTGCTTATTTCCAGTGCTTTATTGTTCAACGTCTGCCAGTAGGTTTAGGGCAACAAGCAACAAATTCTCTTAGAAGGGCTAAGTCGTCTTCTGCTGTAAACCTAAGCCTCTTTATAGGTTCTTTAATATTGGAAGAGGTAGAATCCACATATTTTGGGCCATATTTATTTAATTAAAACTAATCCCAGATACTTAAATATCAAATTACCTAATAAAACTAAAGTAATAATTCAAAACAATTCAAACATAACCTAAAATAAAAGATCTCGCCGGCCCCGGTTGTCAAATACCCGCACATGCTTATTTAAGCAATTTTTAAACGTTATTTAGAAATAGCGCTTGGTGTAATTGATCCGCAAATTAGGTCAGGCGGTAACGTTATTAGCGGGTGTTGCGTTAAAAATTGACTCGCACCTTAGCTCGCGCATATCGTAACCATGATAAGGTACGCGTAAATACTGATTCGGTTTTCCGATATCTCTCTAATAACTGTGCTGGTCAGGCGCTGTGCACAATTTTAGAGGCCATAAGTGGATGAGCTGTGTGCGCAAACTAGTAACTTAACTAGTGCCCGATTCCGAAAATTGGAACCACGAAAAACAATAAAGAAAAAACAAAGTTTATAATCTGTATATTCTATGCTAATACTATTATATTTATACATTTAACACAAGTAATAATTAAAATAAACTTTTTGGATCAGTTCTTCCTTACGTAAAAAACACCCCGTACACGGTACCACTTGAAGTGAAGGTTAGGTGTGTACCCTATTTTTGACCTGCTCGTTACTTGACCAACCGAGAGAATTTTCTACAATTGAAAAGATTGAAAGCGCCTTTTTTGGAGAGATCCTTTATACCCTCACCCGCACGAATAATGGGCACCTTAAAATTTTCATGTATTTTAAAGTTTTATACAGGGTGGGTCTTAAATAAGTGCAAGTATTTTCAGGGGTGGTATATTTCGACCCCAGGAACACGTCTATGAGGTTTTTTTTTCGAAAAAAAAGGATGTTGAAAATCGTGCATTTTCATTTAAATTTCCCTGTATATTTTTCGAAAACTTTTTAGAACTGCCTGTTCACCGTAAATTTTTCCACGGTATAATTTCTTAATCTCTGATATTACCATAGTTACGCCACTAAAGAGATGCAAATACAGAAAAAAATCGGTGGCTCTCAAATTTTTTCCAAAAAAATCAATTTTTTTTAAATTTTCAAACTTAAATGACGCGGTTATTTTGGACTTATTAGAAAAATGGTTAAGAGAAAATATGTTTCTTTTTCGAGATCTACCAGCCCTGAAAATATTTGCACTTATTTAAGACTCACCCTGTATATTGTGTTCTAGTGGACCGAATTTTTAAGCAATTTGTAGCCTGTAATACCTATTTTATTGTAAGTGTGTTGATGAGGACCCAAAATCAATACTAAAATTGCCGTAAAGCGATATCGGATTAGTAGTTATATTATAGTTATCGTTAGTTATCTGTTATATTTACCATAAGTACATTTTTATTAATTTTAAATTTTATACAAATCAAACATAATACATCAAGAAACTTGTTCAGTATTCTGGATCTGGATGCCCATGATCGCATCATAACGATTTTAATTTAATTTCTGTCCCTTATTTTGCAGGTGATTTCCGTGCCTGGAGAGACCACGCCTCCACCCCCGCCGCCGCCGCTTCCAGCCAATCAGATTGCGCTCATCGATCCCAACGACCCCCACCTGTTGGAGCCCAGAGGGGCGGAAATCGTGGAGGTGGTGGAGGAGCCGACCTTGAGACCGTCTGACATTGTCAAGGGCATGTGCAGGAGCATGTCGGCATTATGTAAGTAGATTTAACACTATTATCATAGTATTTTTGGATTGGTAATCTGCACACGTTGAAAAAAAAAACAGTGCTGGCAACCTAGCATTTGTCTGTTTACATCTGATTTGTACAAAGACCAAATATTATACTGGGTGGTCCGAATTCTATTCCGGAAACCTCAGCAGAGCAGCATATTCTGCAGATAAAAATAGTTCGTATAAATGTATGCCCTGAAATAGTTAATTTCGAAGATGCAGGCTGTAGAAATTTCATTTTTATTTCGATTTTTTCCAAATAATTTCTGAAGTAACGTCAATATTTAGATGAAAATTGGTGTCTGGGAGTTTTTTGACATGAGAAAATTTGATTTTTATGTTAATAATGTCTCCTATTTGTAGGGGCGCCACCTATATATGTTTAAACTATTTTGAAGAGTAATAACTTTTTGTTCGTACCTGTATAAAACCACTGGGTAAAAAAATAAACATTTCCCTGATTTCTGTATATCATAAAAAAATCTTTCTATTTCTGTGGGTTTGTATATCTTTGTTCCTTCGTTTTGTACATTAATGTTTGTCAAATTATAGTATTTGTCTGAGTTAGTAACCAATTAACGTTTTTTTTTAATATTTCTATGTTCGAGCAATCAATAAGTAGATATATTGTTGTGACGTCATATATATAAAGCGGGGGTCCTACAGCTTCTGCCGCATCCCGCATTTCGATCCAAGGGCGTAGATAAGGGGGGGGTACCCCAGTACCCCCCCCCTGACGCTTGACGAGATACGAGAATTGAAATAGTCATTGACTATGAAAGGATTTTTTTTAATTAATATCCGACATATAAGAACACTTGGTATGCTTTTAATTATGTTGATTTATCGTTCATAATATGTTCGACCTAATTAAAAGCACACAAAGTGTTCTTATTGGCCAGGACAGATTAGTGGGGTTAACTCTAATCAATATCCATAAAGATATTGAAATAAATGTTGATGCTGTTATTGATAGGTTTTCCAAACAGCGTACTAGAAAACTTGATTTTGTTTTGTAGTTTTATTTATAGTTCTTAGAGTTTTTTTTGATAGTTTAGATTTTTTTATTTATAGTTTATAGAAAATTAACTAATAAACGTCGTTGTTTCATTTTTGTGTATGTTATTTATAAATCTATATTTTAATTTTTGTGTTATGTTTTTATATCTTTTTGAAGACAGAAAAATCGCCGTCGTTTTAATTCGACAAAAAAATTCCGAGGGTGATTTTTTTTGCGACTTAATCATAGTACCACCCCCATAGCATACACCTATCTACGCCCCTGTTTCGACCTCCATATTGCTCGATTTTGCCATTCTTCCTGGTTAATAGCTCTGTCTCTCATGTACTGGTCTACTCCATCTAACCACGTAGTTGTAGGTCTTCCTCTTTTCCTTCTGCTTTGGGGACGATACTCCATTGCCCTTTTTGGCCATCTTTCCTCTCCCATTCTTTTTACGTGCCCAAACCATATTAGCTGTCTCGATTCGATGTTGTCGGTGCTGGTATATATTCGCCTTGTTCTTTGCCTGATCTCCTCATTTCTAATGTGCTCCATCCTTGATATTCGACATGCTCTTCTGAGAAAGTCCATCTCCACTGACTCGACCATCCTACTTTCTTTTGATGTAAATTGCCAGCATGCGGCGCTATATGTTAAAATTGGTTCTACGATTGCTTTGTAAATCCTTAGCTTCGTTTGGATGGATGTTTTATTTGACCACAGGAGAGGGTTTAAAAGACCGATTACTTTCTCACCTTGTTGAACTCTACTATGTATATCTTTCTTGGAGTTCCCCCTTCTTCAAATATAATACTTCCTAAATATTTATATTCGCTACACCTTTTAATTTCATGTATGTGTAGTTCAGGATCTTCAGTTTGTTCTTCTCCTAGTTTCAGGTATTCGGTTTTTGTGAGGTTGTTATTGAGTCCCCATCTATCGTATTCTTCTTCAAGTTTCCTGAACATATAGTCGGCATCCTCCTCACAACCTGCAATGATAACTTGGTCGTCTGCAAAAAACGAGGTCGATAGACAATGGTTGTCAATCTCTATTCCCATAGTTCTACTCTTCCTTCTCCAGTTTTTCAATGCCTCCTGAATATATATTTTAAATAAGGTAAGTGATAAACTGCACCCCTGTTTGAGTTCTTTTGATGTCAGGAAGGATTCCGATAAGAACTTCCCCTGTCTGATCATACTTTTTGGATTTTTGTACATATTCATATATATGTTTTACACACATTTGTCTCAACCAAGATTTCAAACAATTTCTTCAAAGGTACCGTGTCATAGGCTTTCTCTAAATCTATAAATACCAGATGCGTGTCCAAATTTCGAGCTCTCCTTTTTTCAATTATTTGCAGTAACACAAATATGTTGTCTATACAAGAACGCCCAGCGCGGAAACCACCTTGTTCTTCTATTAAATTTCTTCAAAGCTTTCTTCTACTCTCTCTTTTAATATCCTGCCATACAACCTTCCCATTGAGCTTGTCAAACTAATGCGTCTGTAGTTGCTACATCTTTTTTTGTCTCCTTTCTTAAAAATAGAGCTGATGTACGCCAGATTCCAGTCTTCAGGAATGAGGTCGTTTTTTATCAGGCATCTGTTGAAGATATCAGCTAGTATTTCCAATAATATATCGGGTCCCTGCTTTATTAGCTCAATGAAAATGTTTCCCGGCCCCGCAGCTTTTCCTTTTTTTGAGTTCTTCAATGCTTTCTTTATCTCGTTTACACTTATTTCATTTACATGTATATTTTTTGCGTTTTTCAAATCTGGCACTTCTAGTTTGAATTCTGTCCTGTTTTCTGTCAGTAACTGTTTGTAACGGTCTTCCCACTTTTCCATGCTTATAAGTTCTAGTTTACTGTTGTGACGTCATACACTCCTATATCTCTAGCTTCTATGGTCACGTTGGTTACGAGTGTTACGACTAGGCAAATTAGTCCAGTCATCTTAGGGGTTTCACCTCGGAATTCGAGATAACCGGCTGTAAACTCGTATAAGTCTTTATTTTAACATTCTAAAACATGTCTCAAAACCTACATATGATAGCGTGTGCGCGACTTGTAGATAACTGAGGTCAAAAGCCAAAAAATCGATTTTTTGCGCATTTTTTGCAAATATATCGTTTCCTTTCACATTTACGCTATTTGTATTTACTATAAATATTGTAGAGTATAAAATTCTCTACAACTTTTGTTTCAAAAAATTGTTTGTACCTCAAACCGTTTTTGAGATAGAGGGCGGTGAGCACGCAGTCTTTCATTATGTACGGTATCATTCAAGTTCAACCTGTAGTCTCGGTCAAAAACACGCCGTATAAAGTCCGTTAATTATTGAAAAATATATAATTATAAATAGTTTACATTTTTTCATAAAAGATCATATATTGAATATAATATTTTTTTTCATAAATTAAGTATATCTTCATTGAATAACACTTACCTCTCTTTGTACAATTAGAAAATTATTAACAGAAATGCTTTAATTACATTTTAATTATAGCACGGATCATCTTCGTTATACACAATTCATTAAATCAACCAAACTGAATAAACCTGTGCAATTACCAAATCTTCCACCAACAAGTGCAGCAGCTCAACAACATTTCAATCGTGTTTACTACCAAGTTCAGACTTGGTTAGGGCATGATTTATAGAACCCCAGGACTGGGGTTGGATAATGCGTAATGGATTCCTGGAACTTACCCCTACTATTCTACCTCCAGCTCCAGAAAATTTGCTGAACACAATATTCTGCAACTGCAAGAATGGTTGTGGTTCGCGATGTGGATGCAGGAAATCAGGGTTGCCGTGCTCTTTAGCTTGTGGCCAGTGTAATGGGCAAGCTTGTCTCAATGCTTCACCCTATCAAAGTGATGTCAATGAAGATGGTACATTTGACCCCGAAATCCTAGAAGACTTGGAGACAAATGTCGTTGAAGATGAAAATGAAGAAGAATTTGAAATTAAAACTAATCCCAGATACTTAAATATCAAATTACCTAATAATAAAACTAAAGTAATAATTCAAAACAATTCAAACATAACCTAAAATAAAAGATCTCGCCGGCCGGCCTCGTTTGTCAAATACCCGCACATGCTTATTTAAGCAATTTTTAAACGTTATTTAGAAATAGCGCTTGGTCTAATTGATCCGCAAATTAGGTCAGGCGGTAACGTTATTAGCGGGTGTTGCGTTAAAAATTGACTAGCACCTTTGCTCGCGCATATCGTAACCATGATAAGGTACGCGTAAATACTGCATGACGCTATTCGGTTTTCCGATATCTCTCTAATAACTGTGCCGGTAAGGCGCTGTGCACAATTTTAGAGGCCATAAGTGGACGAGCTGTGTGCGCAAACTAGTAACCTAACTAGTGCCCGATTCCGAAAATTGGAACCACGAAAAACAATAAAGAAAAAACAAAGTTTATAATCTGTATATTCTGTGCTAATACTATTATATTTATACATTTAACACAAGTAATAATTAAAATAAACGTTTTGGATCAGTTCTTCCTTACGTAAAAAACACCCCGTACACGGTACCACTTGAAGTGAAGGTTAGGTGTGTACCCTATTTTTGACCTGATCGTTACTTGACCAACCGAGGGAATTTTCTACAATTGAAAAGATTGAAAGCGCCTTTTTTTGGAGAGATCCTTTATACCCTCACCCGCACGAATAATGGGCACCTTAAAATTTTCATGTATTTTAAAGTTTTATACAGGGTGGGTCTTAAATAAGTGCAAGTATTTTCAGGGGTGGTATATTTCGACCCCAAGAACACGTCTATGAGGTTTTTTTTCGAAAAAAAAAGGATGTTGAAAATCGTGCATTTTCTTTTAAATTTCCCTGTATATTTTTCGAAAACTTTTTAGAACTGCCTGTTCACCGTAAATTTTTCCACGGTATAATTTCTTAATCTCTGATATTACCATAGTTACGGCACTAAAGAGATGCAAATAC